AGGAGTCCTTGCTGCAGTTAGTGACAAGCTGGGCAACGATTGGAAACGGTCAAGATGTGTCGTTGCAGAGATGGTTCATTTTGTCAATCAGCTGCAATATTACCTTCTGTTTGAGGTCATCGAGGCCAGCTGGAAAAAACTTGAAGAGGCTCTACACAAGCCCGAAGCTACGCTTGATGACCTGATCGAAGCTCACACAAACTACCTAAACAACATTACCAAAAAGGGTCTGATTGGGCAGCAGCGGCACCCGGTAACCGGCCAACAAGAGGACAGCCTCATCGTCCAAGTCCACCATATCCTGAAATGTATGCTTGCCTATCGGGAAGTCATCGACTCGCTCTACTCGTACAGTGTTGCGGAGTACACTCGACGTCAACAGTTTAGTGCAAAAATAGAGCGACGAACTGCTCAAGGGAAATGGGGTATCACCGAGAAAGACCTCCTTGGAGATTCAAGGGCAAGCACACCAACTTCGGCGGTAGCTGCGGGAGCCTTGAGGGGCGCTCAATTGGTGCTGGAAGAAAACGACTCTTCACTTGCTCCACCAAATGAGAATATAAATATTACGGACGATGAGACCCATCTGAATTCCTTGAGGACACGACAACTGAATCTATCGGCCGATTTTCGATCGCGGCTCAGTATGTTGTTGTATGACTTAGCTCACCAACCGGACGTCGATTTGAGGTTTTTGGGGGTTGTTATGAATTTTAACGAGGTCTACCAACCCATCAACATCCGACGGCAACAGGCTAGACGGGCTCGAGAGAAGCGAGAACTGGAACGAAAGGCTCGTGAAGCGACAGTCTCTTCTGAGGCCAACATCTCTCTGGAAAAGGACTTGAACAGCTCTTCGTCCAAGTCGTAAAGTATGCAATGGACAAACATCTTCCCTCTTATTCCCGGACGCAGTGACGGATTTCTCAGAGCAGACACGATTAATGGACAGCTGTCCTGGGAGGAAGAAGATGGGCCGTACATGGCAGTCCCACAATGGGGATATGGAGCTACTGTGGCGGCGAAAGCAAACAGAGCTCTCTCATGACTCAGCGGGTGGTGGCTCGTTTTACCACGCTAGTAAGCTAAATGATCGGTCATGGCCTCAATTTTCCGCCTCTGCCATGGAAATGTCCTCCTGTGCCAGTGCGCAATAGGCTGAAGTGTTCTCCTACAGCTGCTGATGCTTCTCCTGCATGCACGAACAAGCGGTAACCAATCACTCTCATCTTGTCGTTTCATGCAGTTCTACTCGCTCTTTTGCCCAGAATTGCCATGTTGTACGACTCAATAACGGACTCGATCCCTTCAACTCCGTATGCCGGCACCTGACCAATGTGGCCAGTCTTAGTCGCGGTCATGATCTCCTCGCGACGACAAGATCCGTGGTGGTCCTCTGTTCCCGAAATTATGTTGGGACATTTCAAACGAGTTATTTGACTTACAAAAGCAAATCACATTGTGATCGACTCTTTGGCGTGTCCTCCTTTGACGCATTCACATACGGTGATTGGGTGACCCGGTGTCTGCCTGGGCAGATTCTCTTTTTTTCCCCTCAGAAAGACCAATAGTTGAAAACCGTGAAGGATGGAAGCCTTATACCAAGCTCGGCTCTTTGTCTGCCCGATTCATGAGGGCTGGGCAGACTCCGTGCTCCCTTCCATTGCTAGGCGCAATCCTGGGAAGGGGGCTGTGCGAACTCTGGGGTCCTGCAAAAAGGCTCGTGTTGGACAAACGTGTCCTGGCCTGTACCAAGTATGTCTCGGGTGCGCCCCGGCTCGAATCGTGGCGCTGTGTCCTTGCGCTGAGGAGATGCCGAGTCAATGAGCCGTTCAATGCCGTCTCCCAGCCCGCGAATGCCGTCGCATTGGCCATTCTCAAACACGGCTGCTTGCAGGGAAATGGGGATCGACCACTTCTTCGACGAGGTAGGCGGGCCGACGGCAAAAGCGAAGGCGAAGGCGAAGAGGGTGCATACTCGCTTGTGCCTTTTTGCGTTTTTGTCCGTATTCACAGGGTCTACAACGTCGGAGGCAACGGGGTTGGAGAAGAAAGAAGCGTATGGTAATCAGAACCCGGTGCGTGGTGTCATTTCATTACGAGGGGGGCCCAGGCCCGAAAGCAAATAAAATGCTTCGAATATGTACCTAGGCATGTATGATGTATCCAGGGATGGACCCTCCGAGGGACGATCAAAATACAGTGCCCCTGACCTGTGCAATCTTGGTCACGTTGATGTTCTTGATCATGAACATCCATAGCAGCGACAATGCCATGATACCCGTGCCCACGGCCAGCATCCTCGCCTGCGCATAGCCGTACGACTCCTGGATGCCCAGCCTCTCGGGCGTGCCGACGGCGTAGCTGAGCTGCGTGTCTAGACTGTTGTATATGTCCTCCAGGTCCGCGGGCGAGGTCGTCGAGGGGAGATTCCGAGCCAGGGCTTTGGCGAAGGTGTTTGTCCATATGGCGCCGGAGATAGTGTTGCCGACGGCGCCGCCGACGTTGCCGACTACGTACAGTAAGGCGAGTACGGCGGCGACGTGCTGATGGTCCGCGGCGGCTAGGATAGCGATCTGCTGGACGATGATGAAGATGCTGCCGCCTACGGCGATAAAGATCTGGCACATGACGATGTATCCTATCCCGGTGTTGGGGCGGCGAAAGTGGATCATCAGCCCTTGCGCGAAGATGTACAGCGGCACCGCGACGAAGAGCAGCCACTTGAAGTAGCCCGTCTTGCGGATCAGGAGGCCCACGAACAGCAGCAGCACCCCCGACACCACGTCGAACGTGCTGCCCACATACCCGGCCTCGGCCAGCGACAGGTTGTTGACCACCTGGAGAAACGACGTGAAGTAGCTGTTCCAGCAGTAGTACGAGAGCTGGTAGGTGAAGTCGAGCAGACAGGCGCCGATCACGGTCCGGTTGGCGAGGAGGTTGACATGCAGGAACGGCGCCCTCGCCAGGAATGTCTCGTAGAGTCCGAAGAGGGCGAGCACGACGAAGCCGACGACGATCATCGCAATGATGTAGCCCGAGGCCCAGCCTTCCGGGGCCGAGTCGGCAAGGGTAAAGGGCAACAAGAAGACTGTTAGGCCGGCGGCGAAGAGAATTACACCAGGAGCTGTTCAAAAGGAGACAAATGTCAGTTAGGGGAAGATTTTCAAAAAGGGGGGGGCGGCCAGTCGGCCAGCAAAATTGACGCACCATCAAATTCTTGAATATAATGCCATATGTTCTGCCACAGTGTCCGTCCACTGCTCTTCCGAGACAGCAGCCCCTGTTTCACGGCTTTTCGCAGATTGAGCTTCAGAATGACGTACAACGGAGCCGCCACGAATGGCAAGATGATGGCAAAGCAGCCGAACCCCCATCGCCAGCTGATGTGATAGTAGAAATCGTCCGAAGCCTTGGGACCGGCGAAGGCCGTGATCATGTAAGGCGAAGAGGTGAACGCGTACGCCAGGCCTCGGTTCTTCAGCTTGGACGCATCGGCCGTGATGACGTCGACGCTGTATATCAAGCCCCCGAAGCCGATAGAGTAAAACACCTAAGTCTCTCATGTCTTCATCAGCAATGTTGACGTCTTTTTCAAAAGCTTGAGCTTGAGACTCAGATCTGTAGGTGGTCTTATGTACCTGTGCTGCGCAGAAGGTGGAGAGACCGCTGCAGGAAGCCATCAAGACTAAGCCCAGGGTAGCGAAGGCCACCATGAGAAGAAAGCCTTCAGCTCGCCCCCAGAGGTCCAGCATCTTGGCCAGTGGAATATAGACTGCGGCACTCATGGAGTTGGAGACAATGTAGATGACGGTCAATAAGGAGTGCGTCTCGAAAGAACTTGTGGCGAAAGGGACCAGGTTATACAGGATCGACGACTGAAACGCATTGACAAAATAAAGCAGGAACATCCTGTTGCACAAGCGTCAGTCAAGGCCATGTTGATGCCGTTGGGGAAACAGAAAGATCACGGAATGGCCAGGGACATACAGAACAAAGACAGCGACGAGAGACTTCTTTGACCAGGTCAAGGTGACAGCCTCGACGTCCTGGACACCTCGTTGGGCAGCTTCATCAGGATTCTCTGCCTGGCTTTCCTCATTGCTGGCGCTTGCGGCGGCATTGCCTGCGCTGGCTACTGCTGGATTCTTCTCACTTCCCTCTAGCGAACTCATGGGTAGAGGAGACTCTGCATCGTCGATTGTCGTTCGACGGAATCCAGGTCTAAGCTTAGGCAGCACTGCCATTTTTCCGCAGGTCGAGAACGCACATAAAGGGTAGTAGAGGGGGAGGAAATCAAAAAGAAGAGCATATTACCCGATCCTTATAGACCTAACCTACCTGCCCCCCGCCGGTACCAGTGGATTGAGATATCAACCGGAATAACAGGTCGTAAGGGCCACGCAGCGAGACCCGCAGATGGTTGTAACGCTGCTGATATTTACCATGAGCGGTACCTCCAACGCATCGGCCATGGCGAAAAGCTTGATCCGATGTCGGGCGTCAAGTCCAAAGGGACCTGGGACTGGTTGGTCTCGATAGAAAATCCCAAACGTAGGGGAAACAGCCAGGTTGTTGCGACTGACCATCTCCCTCTTGCTCCTCTTGCTTCTCCAAGCTTCCCCTGCTCCGTCTAGTCCAGGCTCAACGATGTTGTGACATGATAAGATTAGATGACAGCCGATCCAATGGTCCAATCCGCGCCCCGAAGTCGGCGTCGGTTGGGCTCTTTTTGTGGATGCTGTGGCCGCGTCCGTCGACTTCCTAGCCCGAAGAAAGCGCGCGAAGGGTGAAAATTTTCATCTAATCTGATTGATTAGCTTCTGATCATTCCACATCGCTTCAGCCACCTTCATACGGCTCGGGGGTGGTGGGCCAGCACAGGCAGCCTACCGGGTAGGGACGTTTCTGTGGGCAGCAAGGCCAAGGGAGGGGCGAGGACCCGGTAAAGGCGAGAAGAGAGGTCGGCAATAGATCCTCACATGTCGAGAGCTTGTCGTCTAGTGCCACTGGCCACAGAGGCCTTCATCGGCTTTGCCCAGCACCGGGTCATTCTCAGGCTTCGCGACAGACCACACCTTCTCAAAGTGGCCCACGTCCTCACCACCTTTGGCGAAATCCCACTGGCCTCCGCCCTTCGGGTATGCGCCTATCATAGTAAACCCAGAGAGCTCGACGTTCGCCAACGTGTCCTTGATGCTCCCCTCTCCGGCGACCGCGTGTCCGTCACCCGGAGTGAGCAACTTGAACTCGGTGACCGGAGAAGCATTGAAGGTCTTGTGCGCGGTCCCTGCTGGAAGGATAAATACGTCCCCTGCCCGGGCTGGGACTTCAATGCCGCCCTCCTCCCTCCCGGATCCATGGGTGCTTTCATCCAGGTCTGAGACTGTGTCGGCCACGCCGAATCGGATCGTCGCTGTGCCCGTGAGGACTGCCATGCACTCGTGGACTCCAGAATGGTAGTGGGATCTCTGTGACGGGCCGTAGCGGAAAATCCATTGCGTTTCCCAGCCGTTTGTGGTGAAGAGGTCGTGGGCTTTGGCGGCGATGCTCTCGTGTGCGGAATCAATAGATGACAGGAGACCCGGATAGTGGAGGAGGGGCTGTGGTGAATTGGGAATGAGCGCGGTAGGCGGGAGGTAATATTTCTTGACTTCAACCATTTTTCCTTTATGCTCGCTCAGTAGTCGTCTGAGGTTCTGGATTTCTCGAGTCGGCAGCAGGAGGAGTGGTGTGGCAAGTAGGTTGAAGACGACCAGTTGATGAGCGGACGCATGCAGGTTCCCGCAGGCCCCCGCCTCCAAACACGGTGAGGGGAAGATCACCGGCTGGTCCGGACTGCATTCGACTTCATTGCAGGTTCAGCATTCTTTAGCCGTGCCTCGGCCTCTTTTCTGCTCTCGCGAAGTGTTTGGCGCATCTAAGGGGCTTCCTTGCTAGTTCTAACTACAGATTCAGTTCCCACGCGAAGATCGGTGGGCAGAACAATAACTCTCCGCACATTCAGTACCACAGTCGCAAGATTCCCTCCTGTTCCTCACCCTGGCGAGAAAAACCAGGACGGCGAGCTTCCTGGCTCTGCTCCAGGGAGACACATCGTCCACTTCAGAGAAACGCCTCCACCCGAGCCTTTTTCCCTTTCAACATGCCCAATGTATCCACATGTCAGTGCCACACCAAGGCTTGAACGCATAACCGTAACACATCCTTCCAGAAGTGCCATTCCTCACGTGGTTTGCTTGAGGACATATGTCTCTTCTTGTGCCTGTGACTTGTCGTATTTGTAAAGAACCCACCAGGCATGAATGATACCCGGCAACCACCACAGAATACACAGGCAAATGTTGATGATGAAGTTTGCGTCGAATCCCGTCTTCAGAAACACCGCCACCGGAGGCAGGAAGAGGGCGAGGATATATAGGCAGACGTCGGACGCTGACAGTGAGAGGCGACTCATATTTTTAGTTGGTTCTTGTTCTCGGTCTTGTACTGGTTTTCCAGTTTCTGGTTCAAACAGTGGATAGTTGTTTGTTTCCTTTTAAGTTAAGTTGCTGCAAGGGTCTAGAGATCGATCCCTATCGCCAAAGGAAACATACGAGATATAATAAATCAAGTCGAAAATGCTCATTGATGTTGTCCAGTCACGTCTCTATGACAGGATCATTCGATACTCACGAGACCCACTTACCCCGGATACGGCTGCACGAGATTGCGGGAGACATGGCGAGGCTGGCTCCCTCTGGAAGCATATCGCAATTCCATTGAGGGAGTTTCGAGCAGAAGAGGGAATTGTTGGAATGCCCAAGACATCATGTGCCGCTGCCAAGCGTGCATCAGGTGATGGCTTCGTCGACATTCCAGACGCGTGATGATTGCCAACGAAGCCAGAAAGGTGGAAGTGGTTTTTGAAAGTGGTGTGCCTTGGAACCTAACATGTGTGGTTGATTGAGAGCAGTGCTGGAGATTGATTATTAGCGAATTGGTGGCTGAGCACTCTCTTCCATGACGCCTTGTATCAAGTCCCAAGTACATCTTACATGTACCAGTTCAAAGTGCTTCGGTAAATTGGGGTGCTCTTGGCAAGGCTGCCCAACAGCCTCGTCCGCTGGAAAGGGTCCTCGCTACTACTGTCCCATGCGAACAGCTTTATGTACAGATCCTCTCGTGCTGATCCCGTTGCCCTCAACAACTGTGCTCGCCGCTCCACAGTTTTTCTTTCAGCCATCAGGCTCATTTTCTGTAACACTGCAGGCAACACCTGAGCACCCAGATTCTCGAGATAATGCCCATCAAGCCTCTCACATTCAAAGGCGACAAGAAGCCCAAAAAGCGCAAGCACCGGCACGACGAAGACGTTGACGACTCCCAAGTCGCCGTCGCAGGCAATAAGCACCCAGTCGATCCCTCCGACGACGACTCCTGGACTATCCCCGACGCCCCCAGCGACCTCTCCGGCCCCGTCCTCCTTGTCCTCCCCACCAGTCCCCCCACCACTCTCGCCGCCGATGCGCACGGCAACATCTTTGCCTCTCCGCTTGAGAACATCGTCGAGGGCGTCGCGGAGACATCGGAGCCTCATGACGTAAGGCAAGTCTGGGTCGCGAGCTCCGTCGCGGGCATGGGAAAGGGCGAGAAGAGCTTCAAGGGAAGTCACGGGGGGTACCTGAGTTGCGACCCTGTGGGGGTGCTGGGCGCAAAGAGGGAGGCCAGAGGTGTCGAGGAGGGATTTATCGTGGAACCTGTAGAGAATGATAGTGCTGGAGATGGGAAGATGAGGTGGAGGCTAAGGACCGCCGCATCGAAACCGGAAGAGGGAGAGAAAGGAAGACGGTATCTCTGCGCCCTCACAGAGACGAAACCGACAAACGCAAAATCAATCAACATCTCACTGCGCGGGGATGGTGAGGCGTCATCGGATTCGACCCATCTCATTTTAAAAATGCAGGCTCGCTTTAAGCCGCGGATACAGCAGACCAAAGAGACGAAAGCAAGGGAAAAGGTCAGTCGGAGGGAGCTCGAGCAAGCCGTCGGTCGGAGATTAGAGGATGACGAAGTGAAGCGATTGAAAAGGGCAAGGAAGGAAGGGAATTTCTACGAGGAGGTCCTGGACGTCAGGGTCAAAGGGAAGCATGACAAGTTCGCCAGTTGAGAGACATCGTTGATTCTATCACGAATCCGACCGATCCAAGCTACCACGAACTTTCCGCATTCGAACTCAACCGGATGTTTGCCAGAACTTCATACACATGGACATTCATTGACCGTCTTTTTTATTCCCCCACGACCGTCCCATCATATACCGACGCATGTCCCTGCTGGTGGCTAACCTAAACCTCGTGGAAACGCCAGTCGCTATGCATCAAAACCATTCCAAGGGTATATGGCCCCAACATTGTCATCTCTTCAAAGACTAGGAAACAGGCGGCCTGCGATCCGGCGCCCTAAAGGATGAGTTAATGCCCGTTGTCTCCTCATTCGAGATCGGTTCCAGTACTTACAAAGAGGTCTTGATTCCTCAGCAGCGCGACCTTCATCAACCCGCTGTTCATAACTGCGAGCTTCTCTTCGCGCCAGTCGCTCGCGCAGCCACGCTCGCCTAGCAGACACACCCTGAGCTCGAATATCGGCAGGTATTTCGTCTTCCACGGTATTTTGCCTACGAGCGAGTGGTCCATCCTCCATGCCTGCAACCCCACTCCTCGCCTGGTCCACCGGAATCTGAGGAGACACCATCGGTATTGAAATGCTCCGAACAGAGCGGCCGGTTATTGCAAGGATAGGGGCAGGAAGTCGATGCATATGAGAGGCCATCGATGACTCCTCTGCTGCGCTAGAGCGCTGCCGCATCCGCCGCATCAGTCTTTCTCGCCTCACCATGAGGTTTGTGACCTGGACGGGACAGTATCCTGGTGGTAGTGATGACTTCTTGCACAGTGGACATAGCGAGCTATTGTCGCGGAGGAAGGGGTCGATGCATTCTGGATGAAAGATATGATTACAAGGTAGTTCGCGAACAGTGGTCTCTCCGCTGACGAAATCGTCGAGACAGATTGGACAAGTCGACTGAGAGAAGGCGACTGGGTGGACCACAACTGCTGGGGCGATTGCGCTCTCAAAGTCCTTCGCATCCACTTGCGCCGACTTTTCGACTTCAGGTTTGGGTGCATCAACCGTTTCAGGCTCGACAGCCTCGTTCGAACTGTCGCCATTGACTCCATCCGACTCCATCTTCGTATTGTAAGTGTACTTTGGCATTTTGTCCAGCAGCTCTTGTGGCACCTGGAGCCTCTTGATCCCTAAAGCCTCAAGATCAACTTCTCCATTTGCCACGCGCCGCTGGAGTACGCGTCGTTGTCTTCGCTGGATCATGTGCATGACGATCGATGTCATCAAGACCACGGCCAGAAGGATCGCCAGGACGATAATCAGAAATACCCATAGCGAAGGGATGCCGGTGGTGGAGGCGACGTCCATTCTTGCATACAGCCTGATGGTGTCGTTGGGGTTGTATATCTGGACCAGCTCGCTGCCAAACGGAACCTCTGACATGTTCCCTGAATACAGTGCTAGCTCATTCAGGAGAAAAGATCCAAGCATCCCAGGTATGGCATACACTGGATAGTCGTTTGTGGACTTCCATTGCCCACCATCATGAAGAGTCCAGGAGCGATCGCTGACGGGAGGAGGTTGTTCATTCGAATTGCCAGGTTGAAAGAATATAGCCCCTCGGACCTGATCGGACCGCATGGCGGAGAGGTAAGAGATCACGCACTCTGGTTCCGTCCATGGAGCCAACGCAATCAATGGATAATCGCCCGGAGGTAGCTGGTCCCGTGTCGTGGCATTTGCCGGAATCAGGGATCTAGTGGAGTTGCCACAGGGACTGGAGGGCGGAAGGGCGGGAGAATATAGCAGGCCTTGTATGACATCGTAATGGTGCGGATTGCTGGGAGACAGGGTGCGAATGAGACCCGACGCTCTCAGTGCAAACCCAAAAGATTCCTTTTCAGTATTAGCAGATCCATGTTTTGAAGGCTCTTGTGCGCTGTCTTGAATATTTCATACATTGACAATGCGGGCTCCATTGGAGGGGTCATATTGTGGGTTGGGCAACACAATCGCAACGACGCCGAAGTCCTGTGCGGCTGTGCAGCGGGTCAGCACCTATATTTGTGAGACGAGAACATAAAGGTCACACTCACACATGGCTGTTTAGATTGCCCGAAGCAACTGATTGCCGCAGACTGCGAGGAAACGATTGCGCAGGCTCAATCGACCGGGAACATGACATGGGAAATGCGACAGGGACAACGAGACACAGTGCTCCGGAAAACACGGATGGGTTTAGAGAGAGGCTTGCGAGATCCGGATGACGCACGCATCGAGGTCATCAAGTTCGTGAGAGGAAATGCTTGCGACCTCTTCGGAGCGGGAGAAGATGAGAAGGGAAAGATGTGGGAGGATGTGAGGACGAGGACGAGAGACTGAAGACGGACTTCAACAACCTCGACCTCGACTCTTGACCGTCGACGATCTGCGGACTTGGACAATGCCAATGCGGTGTTGCAGGCGGCGGCCCAGTTGGACTGCGCCTCCAAGTCCTCCCAAGACTCCCAGAAGCGCCCAGCCTCTTGAGATTTGTCTCAGCACCATGCACCTTTTTCTGGGGCTGGGTTTCTGTGAGTGGGCGCTGGGGGGGGGGGGCCTTGAGATCCGGCTGGTTTCCTCGCTAAATGTTTATTTTGGAGGGGGAGGGGGGCCTGTGGCCTAGGGCTGGTGCAGCCTAGCTTGGGCCTATTAGGAGACTGCAGGCGGGCTATTCCTCTTCAGAAGAATCCGATCCGTCCTCCGTTTGCAGGTCATATTGCCTGCAAGTTGAAAAGTGGCATGTTAGCCGACAGCGCGCTTGGCATTCACCTGCGGCCGAGTTTCAACGTCAGACTGATGATAGCAAGGCGTTGAAAGTTGGAAAAAGAGACAGCGTCGTACCACAACACTCTGAATCCATTGGCTCTCAGTGGCGGCTCTCGTCGGTTTCGCGTCCGAAGAGTCTCAAATACCCCTTCGAGAATCCTGAGACACGTCTCTATGATGGAGAGATCAAGGCCCCAAACGCCACTCTGATCAATGTTCCTCGTCCACCACCATCAACAATCCAACACATCATTCCGCCATGCCTCCCTTACCAGGCGCCAGCAAGAAGAAGAATCGAGATGGGCGACGGTCTCGAAGCAGGAACACCACGCCAAGCTCGGTTCTCAGTGCTGGTACTGCCCCGCCTGGACCGACGTCGACCCCTCTTCTCGAGCTGGAAGTGTCTAAACTCCTGGTGTCCCCCAAGCCGAGTTATTCGGAGATCATAGACCATCTGGATACTCATGGCTCTAAACTGGAGCCCAAGTCGTTGCACGACATCATCGATCAGTTGAAGCATCTCAGTGAATCTGCCGAAAAACGCGCCGAATCATGCGAGAAAGCCATTCGGCTCATTCATGACCAGAAGAAAAATGCGGAAGCAGACCAGCAAGATCGTGACCGCCAGGCAGAGCAGGCACGCCGGGCAAAGGCGCGCAAAGAGGAAGCGCACTCACAGAAGAATCCCAAGGCAAAGAAACGCAAAGATCGACCCGAGACTTTTGACAACGTCGAGATCAAGAAGGAAGGTATGTCGCTTGCTCATCCAGCGCCTCTCTTGAATTCTATATCCATCTCAATCTTGGCGATGATCCGGCAAACCTCCTCTGTTGAGTTGATAAAGGTCCTCTGAGGACCTGGACTGCGACAAGAGTTCACTAACGACATATGCCCAGATGAACCTTCAAAGACGAAACTATCCCGCGCCACACCCGGACCTTCGGACAGTCCTTCTCCTTCGAAGAAGACCAAGCTCAGTCCTGGCACCTCGTCATTGTCAGAAGTCGCGGATTCTCCAGACGCTGCAGCTGCCAGCGCGCACGCCTCACCAACAAAGTCCGACGTGTCTATGTCAGATGCTGAAGACAACCGCATTGTTCACGGTCAGCCGCCAATGCCTCAACAAGGTTTCTTCCCAGACCCTCTGGCGCCGGACCCCGTCATCTATCACATTCGAGAGGTGACACCTGGCATGTCAGACGAGGAGAAGAAGGAGATTTACAGTGTCACTGCGTATCCGACAAAGGACCTAAGTGATCAAGTCGCCGGCACCCCACCTGACAAAGACTTCAGCAATGCGAAGCCTACTAATCAAGTCGCTGCCAACACATTCCTTACCTATGTGGAGCCATTTGTCCGGCCGCTCACGGAAGAGGATATTGCATGGTTGCGCGAACGAGTAAGTTCTGGAGAACAAAAGTGGAGGAGGATGTCGCTAATTTGGCGCAGGGCGATCGAACAACGCCCTTTCTCGCAGTACCTCGTGGCAAGCGTTCGTACCAAGAGATCTGGGCAGAAGAAGATTCGGGTACAATTTCCGTTGAGAATGGCAATGAAAAACTACTCTTGAATCATCCGAGGGGAAACGTGGAACAAATCAACGATGAAAATGTCGCGACGGATCAGATTTCGACTGGACCATTGGCGAGCCGGCTTCTGTCTCTTCTCAAGTTTGAGCACCGATCGCCGCCGAATGAGGCTAATGCCACAGGTGACTTGAATTCTTTTATGGCTGACGGCAATGATACTATGGACTTGGATGGGCTCACAAACGGTCATGACACTTCTGAGAAGCCGCTCCCTCCTGCCACGGCTGTCGCCGACCAGGCACCTGCGAAAGCCTCCACCTCCCAGCGCTTGGACTACATTCAAAGTGAGGAACGAATCAAAGGCGAGCTCCGACACCTCGGTCTCCTAGGGCAAGACGAGAATCCTGATTATGATGCTCACCATGATGATGACATCAGCGAGAGGTTGCGCCTGCTCCAGGGAGAATTGCGTCGCGTGATGGTCGTCAACGGGGCCCGCAAATCACGTCTTCTGGATCTCGCCAAGGAACGGCTTGCGTTTCAGGAGTACAGTACTATTCATGAAGATCTTGACAGCCAAGTCCAACAAGCCTATCTTAAGCGAACTCGCACCTTGGGAAAGACGAAGAAGGGAGGCCCAGGAGCCAACAAACCACGACCAGGCAGCCATGGCGTGGGCGGACCTGGAACAGCAATGAGTGTCAACAGAGCCAGAGACATTGGTGACTCGGCTCGGATGCTTATGGATCGGAGAAAGCGATGGGAAAATTGCATCGGACCCGTCTTCAAGGACATGAATCATGGCATTCCACCCAAGGGCACTACGTTATGGGATCCAAAGATCATGGAAGCTTATGAAAAAGCCGAGATGGAAGCCCTTGAAGAGGAAGCAGATTGAGACAAAGGGACTCGAGCTCTGTTTCTCTTCTTGCGGGCCGGGAAGACAGCCAGATAAGTATCACTGGATGGTCGCTGGGGTCACGTGTGTAGTCACGTGTGTTATCACGTGATAACGCTCATCACACGATGACAAGACGGCAGCGCTAACGAGGGCTTGACTGGCTTGGATTAGCCCTTCGCTCACTGTCGGCAGTCTTGCTTCTTGAACACTCAAAGGGGAAAGGCAAACAAAGGCGCTTAGCTTTGTGTCTACAGTCAAATTAAACTTGGCTGAGGACAATGATGCTCCGGATCCGGCAGGAAAGCATAATGTAGGCGGGTACAGCATTGACGAGCTGAAAGAAATTCAATGGCCTTATTCCCGCTCTTTTCCAATCTTTCTTGACTCACACTCCAGCTGGATGAGATTCCATCACTGGCTCCTTGCGTTTTCTTCAATCACCTCAGACCCACGGCAAAGAGCTAATCTTGTGTTGGGTGCCAGCCACATCGCGGCAACATGGCGTTGGATGACTTTCGTGTGGACTGGGACCCAAGTGCCGATCAATCATTCTTCAGTGAACCTGAGCAGCGCAACCCTGTGGCCGAATCGCCCATCAAGCACTTTTTCACCTGGAAGGAGGAAACCAGATCGACACCCTGGTCGAGATCCATTGGGGAGAGGTTTCGGCATCTGTTCTTCTCTAACCTCGATCTTCCCGACGAAAACGAATGGCACTTCGAAAGACCGTTGGGCAAGGTATGTCACCTGAAACATTCTATCCTGCACCAGAATGGTTGCTTTGCCTTCCTTTGCACACAGACCAGACTACTAATACGAGTTATTTGGAGAAATGGTAGGGGGCGTTTGGTGCGGCAGCCCTGTTTTACAAACGGAATGAGATGCAGGAAAAAATAGATGTAAGTACTGTAATTCAGGACAAACCTTCCCAGATATCATGCTCACAAGGTCCCAATTAGGCACTCGCATTGAAAGTCACAGATTTCAATCCATCCGATTTCGTTCCCGCTCCAGGCAAGCAGATGACGTTGACTCACGAAGCTGCCATTATGGCGCAAACCAACGATCTCGAGTCTGATAGCCTTGTACGCCTCCGTCAGTACAAAGTCGACCTGCAAAACAACCGATACTATATTGAATACTGTGACTTCGGCACGCTGGAGACACTCCGGCTGAGATATAAAGCATGGAAGTAAGCTTCGGCCCGACCTGCCATTGCCGTCGTATATTCTGACAATGAATCTGCCGTAAATACCTTCCTGAGCCTTTCTTGTGGCATACCTTCTACTACCTGGCAAAGGCATATCTTGAATTTTGCACTGGTTCCTATAGGAGTCTGCTCTCTTCGGACTTTGGACAGGCACCGCCCGGAGAATATCTTCTGCATAATGACATAAAAACGGACAACATCTTTCTGGCCATGAATACTGACGAAGATGATGGGACCGTCTGGTATCCTATACCAAAGATAGGTGATTTTGGCTTGGCCATGACCATTAATCCTGATGAACTCGTAAGGGGCACTGCCGCAGCCATACAACGAGGCACTGAACTTTGGCAACCACCAGTAAGTCCTAATCTTCTCAGTATCAGTATACTCTCGTATTTACCAAACCCAGGAACAACGCATTAAATATATGACGGCCTGGCACAGGTACCATTTCGAGGACGATGTCGATCCTCGATTTCCTCCGAACACGAACCCAGCTCTGCATCGAATCCGTCCAGAAGCAAACATCTGGGCCATTGGTGCCGTCATGTGGAGTTTAACGACCCTAGAGGAGATAGATGATCTCAGCGACAGAGTTATCGATGTCCTGATGGGCGAAGGACCTGCATGGAATACTTTTGACGGGACAAATGTCCTCGACAGAGCCGACCCCGAGATCAGGAAACGCTATAGCACTGAACTCTTTGAGCTCATCCAGGAATGCACGAGTTTGAGACCAGGCGATCGACCGCCCCCAAGCCGCCTGCTTCAGGATGTTCTCGCTAGTTTGGAAAAGTGCTTTGAGCGGGAGGAAGAGGTGTTTATGCATACGAACGACCGGGCGCCAATCACTGTGGCCTTCGCCCAAGACCACTTCAAGGACCTTCCCGACGGTGGTGCAAATCTCAACAGACAACGTGGTTTTTGGGACGATTTTGCGGATCATCTCCTCTGGGGCGAGAAAGAATGGGACTTTGTGTGCCCGCCAGCAGCGCCACGTGAACTAGACTTTGACGGCAGCTGGCCGGGACCAATACGCCAGAGACTAGAAGAGGGTTGGAAAGAAGCAGTGCTGAAGAGAGATAGAGAGGCTGCTCAAAACAACGATGGAGGAGGGAAGCCGTCTGGTCAACAAGAAACACTTCCAAGAGCGTTTCGGGGCTTAGCAACCCGGTCTTATGATCAACGCCTACCAGAAAAACAAGAGGAGAGGCCTCGAAAGCGCATGACATGGTGACGGATGCAGAATCGGAAGCGAAAGGGCAATTATTGTACTCTTCTTACCGGGTGCCTGCCACCAATTGTCTCATCGTCTGCTCGCCCATTAGAGCCTGCTATCGTCTATTGGATTCGGACCAGCCACATCGATTCACTAACGCACTGTACTCTGGATATTCTGCTACAATCTCCTCCCGTTCTCGCTCACAATTGAAGACGCCAGTGAGGTGAGCTTGACCAGCTTACGTCGGTTTGTGCGATGATAGCTGATAGAAGCAGCAGGTACGCAGGATAACGTGCATGTCTAGGCGAGCGGCTCCTGGTTTGTATTGTGCAAGTGCGTCTGGATCAACAGCAGACACCAGCTTGAAAGAGGATGCCGTGTCAGACATCCATGTTTGGGTGCTTTTATTTTTCGGGTTGTATGATGCTTCTCGACCGTGGTGAAGACAACATTGCAGGTTATTAATGACCGATTTGGCATCCTGCAGGTGGCAATCATGTTGTACAGGCTTTCCCTATGTGTTTCGAACCTCGACCTCTTCTTTCCATTTCTACTACGTTGAAGCTGCAGGAGCAATTGACAAGTTCAGTCGCGAGAAGTCCCCAAGAGCAGGTATGCATGCTGCAATGGCCGCGATGCTTTTTGCGCTACTTGTTCACGGCATTTCAGCCTTGTTTTTATGGACCATCCATGGCTTGATCTCCAATTATCGGTCGCCCGAAAGGTAGGGGTGCCTGTTATCCTGACACCAGTGGACGCATTCAACCCGCTATGGGTGTTTGCGAGACGAAGCACTGCTCCGTTCATTCGGCGGCCTCTTTTTGGACTGGGGCGATCCGGTACGTGCAGTTATCTCGGGTGTCCCTGAGAGCACAGATATCAATTGCACGACCGGTATGGAGAGGCTTTCGTTGTTGTCACCCCTGGAGGATGCCTGTCAGTCGTTGGTGAGAGCGATGCCGCAGCGGACGTATCAAACAGAAGGAAGAATTTCACGAAGAGACCAGCTGTCACTGCGCCGTTCACAATCTTGGTGCAATCCCTGCTCAGTGCAGAGGGGGAGACCTGGCAGCGATAACCCCCTGCAATGTAGCCATGTCGGCTCATGTGTGACTTTCCTTTGGCGAAGGTTCAATTCTACGAAAGACGAGACGGCAAGACTCTTGACCCTCGGACGAGATTCGAAATCACGGCTCCAGACCTGATACAGGCATTGAAAGATCAAAACGACACAGTTCCATAACTAGGAGATATTCTTCTGATTCGGTCGAGCTATGTTCAACGACACAACCAGACGCCAGCAGAGTCCATGGAATCTGAATGGCATTTCCAAGTATGGCATTCAACGTACGAGTACGGAGATTGAACGTGTAAGCATTGACTGAAGCCATGAACGGGAAGAAGATTTCCAGGGTGAAGAATGTGGGTGTCAGAAGTAGTATGACTGGGTCTCTCAAGAGTGCCACAGTTTGACAGACGTCTTGCCAAGCTGAGAGATGTTCGTATTTGGCGATGGCGGTGCCGTCGTTCCTTCGAAGCTTGTCAGGATCAACGAGGATGAACGCCAGAGTCATCGAAGCACATTGAATGATGATGAAAGTGATGTAGACCGAATGGGGAACCCCCAGCGAGTGGGTTAGAAAATTAAGTACAAAGACGATCAGGGCCGGATGGAGTTTCAGAGTGTCTTACCGTTCCAGTTGATCCTAGACCGTGGTCATGAATTAGTCTTGTGTTTACGGCACTGACAACCGAGAGCGATCCAATACACATACCCAAGAGCGATACATCCGTCTACTGTAGCGCCACCGACATTGCCAGTCCACTTCATGGCACGCCAAAATCCTCGTTGCTTCTCTTCGGAATAGCAATTGGGAATGAGAGCGGCGGTGGTTCAAAGAAATGCGGCCGTAATTCCCAGGTGAATGCCAGCAACCGCAGGATACCGAAGGTGTCCTGCGCATCAAAATACCACATAGCGCCTGCCACTATCATTCATGTATCGTTCCTTGTCGGCGACATCAGCCCTGACCGGTATAAATAGCATATCCAGATATGGCGATGATGATAGTATATCGAGGTCCGAGCTTGCTAAGCACCGTCGGGGCGATGACTCCGGCCAACACAAATGCAGCGTACAGCAGGGCGTTGCTGATGTTGGCCATCTGAATCGAACTGGGACGACCACCTCCTGCTCCGAGGGTCTAGAGACGTTATAAGACAACCCTTGACGGAAAGAAGGCGCGATGGAGGCTTACCGCAATGGCCAAGTACAGTCCAGGACTGCAAAAGATCGATGCGCTGAGCATGAGATTCTGTACAAAGGGGCTATGATTCATCTTGGTCAGATGAGGTCTGATAAGCTCCGACCGTAAACTTACTTATTCCTTCTACATAGTGTTAAGTAGGCATCTTCTAGGATTTTACCATTAATAGGGGCGAAATCGACCAATATGTTGATTTTTCAACGACAAAGGATGTAATGGGGGTGGGAAACCTTTGAATTTTGTGAACAGGAAACTCATGGGAGGTCTTTGCAGGCAGGTTGATCACGACATAACTCTCTTAATGACCGTTTTTTTAATTGTCATGTCTATCGCGTCACGCCCCCGATATCTATGGCTTCGAATGCTCCCCATGGCACAGACCTTGGGCGGACTGCTAGAATCTCTGCTCCGCTCTGGTTGTCCTAGGTCTGAGAAGAAAAGAACGGGGTCTCTGGCATCCTGGGAACCGAGGAGCCGAAGTTATCCATATCGAATGAAGTCGCCCAAGATTTGGTGGGTGGAGCCAGTGGGGCAAACTCGCCATACTTGATTCGCTTGCTGGTCTCTCGGGTTCCCGTACCCCTGCCATGTCCCAGCCTGATCTGAGATCGGGAAGAGGGAACCTTGATAAAAGGCCAATTGTCGATACGAGCGCGAACAGCAGAAGCTAGAGTCCTCGTAATTTCCTATGCTCACCCTTCCTCATCGCCGAAGAGTATATGGTAGCCTGCATAGCCCTTCCCCTCTCTGGTGTCTTGATAAGCAGGACCCGAGGATCGAAGCGCAAGGTCTCTCTTAGGCTAGTGGACCAGAACCCTGAAGCTAGCAGCTGAAGATATTGTGCGTGATTCAAGATTCCGGCCACGATCGCTGCTTGGCAGGGAGACAGTTGGACGCTTGGAGGCAAGGAGCACACTTACAGAACATTTATAAGCCTATCAAGGTCTGGAACACATTCGGTACAGTAGTAGCACAAGAACACCGGCCAGAATGTGGACCATCGATGTGCCTCCCGCAGATTCCCCCCCTGAAATTACTGGTTATGTCAAGCCGTGGATTACTGACCCTGGTGGGCATCCTTTCGTCCATGATCTAATCCGACACGATCCGACGCTATTACTTCACCGCGTCGACCGCCGTCATGGCCGCGGCGATACAATTCATCCAGGAAATACGCGTCGCCATTGCGCAGAACTCGTCGTTGCTGGCGCTCCAGGCATAGGACCGGCTGGAGGACTGTTTCCCCGTCATGAACGAGCTGACGCACTACTGGCCCGCGACCAGTGCGACGCTCAAGTTGTTCCGGCACGTCTTGGAAACGACAAAGCCCATGATGGACTCGCATTTCAACGATCAAGTTTCGCGCGTGTCTTCCGGCGCTGCTACCGCGAATGCTTCGGGTCAAGGCCTCGGACCGGATAATTGGGATTCCATGTTTTCCAACCTCTATACTATCGCTCCAGAGCCGGAATGGTCCAACATCGAATCCTGGTTTGGGGTCTAATCGTATAACGTGGGAAGGGGGGCTGTTGAATGGGCGAGTGCCCTCAAAGACTCGATCCGGTTCAAGACCGGCACCATGTTTTCTCGATGGACTGTACAACTGGGAGGATCATGTCAAACAAAGAGAACATCTGTCATGTGGAAAAGCATTTGTCTATTCCATATCCAGGATGCTCCGATATCAGCAAAGCCTGACCTTTGTCCTGAAATCTAGTCGTGAATGCTCGTCCAACTCCGATCAAAGCGGGAAGTTCGCTTTTTGGCTCAATTAGCCCCTACTTGGTGTTGATCAAATCTCCAGATTCTCGACGAATCGTCTCTGGTTCGAGATCAAGACGCCTATCCTGTCCGTTCAAAAAGCCGAGATGGTTCAGCGAATTCTCTTTCGGCAGAGTCACTGCCCAGGAAGTCGAAAAGGTTCTTGTCGTTGATGTATTCGATCTCGTCATCTTTAAACCGGGGTTGCGACATCAAAATCCATGGAGACGAGCCGAGGACCTGAAAACATCGCCAGCGATCCATCGACCTACCTTGTTTATACCAGCAACCACATCCTGACGTTCATGCGGTCCGTTCTAAAAAGAGAGCTGCGTGTTCTTTGAAGTTTTTGCAAACATCGAGCTTCGGCGTGAAGCTTTTGACGTGGACATTCTACTTGTGTTGGATGCACTGGACAATGTTGGAGTAGAGTACTTCGATCAACGGAATGATGGAACTGCGACCTAGAGAGCCGTAGGCACCTTTGATCCAATACTAGTTGGGGACTGAGTCCCCGTCAGTCGGCGGTCTGACCTTGGAAAAGGCCCCGCTCATACTGTGAGGGACTCCAAAGAGAGATAGGAAACTGGCTCTTTCGCAAACAACTTCCCGACACTGTAGCCGCTGGCTTCAATTTATTGAGAATCTCGGAACCCATGACGTGTTGAGGTAGTACGAAGTCCGTGGTGAAATCAACTCGGTATAGTGCAATGGCCATGGAGATGTTACCTTGTGGCGCAGATGAATACATCGACCTCGTGATGCCTTCGATTACCATCGATGAAACCTGTGGGGAGTAAGGTCTTGCATTTCGGACGTGAAAACCTTGACATGCTCCTGGGTGAGCACCTCGAGAAAGCCATTGCCAGGCTTCAGGGATTTTCTCAGCGCCGAGTCAGTCGCTCATCAAGATCCGAAGAACACACCGTCGCTCGCCGGCAGTACTATAAATGAGCTTTCCTTTGAAAGTATCTAGACCCTTGATATCTGGTCACTTCCAATCACTGTGAGCGAGTTTAGCCAAGATTGATAGACGGAGAGTTGAAAGACTAGTCAGTACTTTGAAATGCCACTTCCATTAATTAAATTGTGGCGCCAATTCCTGAATTCTCTCCCATCGGCTCTTTGGATTATTATGTCCCAAACCCCCTCATCATCATTCCACAGAGCGCCGATGATCTTGTGGTGAAATTTCAGGTACTTTGTAAAATTGTATTTTTCCACAATGCTCTTCAAATAGTGCCAAATCTCAGGTGCTCCAGAGTAGAACAGACACCAGACCGGGTTTCATGCCCACGTGAATTGAGAGGTTGCTATCAGGGACCTACGCAACGCAGTAGGTACAAAGAAATTGGAGTAGCTGAATGCCTTATTCTATTTACGTAGTCCTATTGACAACGACTCAACGCTTGAGAAAAAGGAAGAGTTCTCTCTCAGCCGGTTCGGGTGAGAGGAGACTCTTATAGCTTCCCCTCTTTCTGTCACGTGAAAAGGGTAAGGCAGCGTTAACCGATAGCCTTGTACTTCAACCGTCCTTTGCCTTTTCCTTTTCTTTCTATACCGTCCACCCGATTCGGGTGGAGGGCGTAGAGTACTTGGGGACAACGGTGGGCTCGTGACAGTTGCGCTCTGAATGTCACAAGCACAACCGGGATACCTTGAAAGGATTGGAAGGTTAATATTAATCGTGCACGGGCTCCACGATGGGTGATGTTACCTATTCTCCAACCATGTGCCTCCAACGTCGTTTTTTTGTCTTTGTTTTTGTTTTTATATATCTGTAGCTCCACGTCCTTGAGCTGATCTTCGGTGAACTTGGCCAAATTCATCCCTGATGCCCCAGCTCCGATACGAATGATCCTCATTTTTCGTCCCTTGCCGTAATTGCCTTGGTACCGCCTATCTCCCCTGGCATTTTGGATCATGGATCCACGTTCTTCGTAAAGCATCTCGAACGGATCAGTTGCGGGAAAAGCCTCCATCCTCCTTCGTAGACGCCATGGCTTGATCAGCACTGCAGGGCGGCGGCAACTAATGACGACTATCTACCGCGCGCTGAGGAAATTCCAAAGCGAGGCCAAAAAACGTACGACAGCAATTGTAACAAACGAGATTCGAGTTATATAATGGTAATGTGTCAAGAAGTGAAAAGACAAAGGCTATGAGATCCGTGATCAGCCCATCTTTGTCGGTTCGTGTCAGAAATAATGGGGTACGTAGCTTCGCTGTAATTAGAAAAGGATAGTCGCCTACCACTAGATAAACCGTGAGCTAGATCCCATGCTGGAACCATGAAACAAATGGTTGTACGTCGGGTAGTAGTCGCCAGAATTCGCTTCCTCGGTAGCGACGGAGGCTAGATCCCTGGTAGTATTGTCTGAAACAGGCCCTTTCAGAAACTGCCATCGTGCGCTAATGTTGGGCAAGGGCTCAGCATAAGTCTCTCGGCCCTGGCGGAGACACTAATCGAAAAGTGGTCGGAAATCCCTCAACGTCTAGCAGTACAATAGTGGTATATATCGGGATGATAGAAGCCGCAAAAGCGAATGCCCTATTAGGTAATGGTCTCCTTTTTGGAATACTAGGATACAAGGCCTGTCGTTTACGGCGGTAAACTACTCCCACTTTTGAATGAATTGTCTGCATTGCTGACATTCCTAGATGCAGCATGTACTAACCCACGCATAGGCATAGGGCCTACAGAAATTCTTGACCTTGCGAGAACCTTTGGTGTCGTCGAAGAAGGGTTTCAGCCACCCAAAAGTCATCTCTTCCTCCTCCCATCTGTGCGAAAGAATGGTATATTTCGGCCGCTCACGGTGAAAATCTTTGAGTGTCAGTGTTGCTGTTTCACGAAGCTACGTCTTTGGATTTTTGGGGGTCGAGCACCTTGTAGTGCTCGTTCGGTATGGTGAGGTTTGAGTGTGCCACGGCTTTAGACTGAAGACGAGGCCGCGATCAGGCATCAGACCTCGTCGCTTTGGGCTTCGGCGCAGCATTTCCCCCACAGCACCTCTTCAACTATCTCACTTCCCTACCTCACCAGTCTAACCTCGACGTTGCCTGTCTGCAATTATACGGTGAAGCCCGCCCTGTTCAGCTACTGTGGCCGCACTGTTCCTTGAACTGCACCGAGTCCCGTTGAAGAGCCAACCAGGTGTGGCCGTTATGCGCGCATTTTGACCGGCCGGTAAATCATGCATTGCTTCCAAGGTTGCTAGAAGCCTAGTGGTTCTAGAATCACGTAGTGGAGCTAGCAGCGAATCTCATAAGGGTCCGACGCTAAGGTGGGGACCACCTCTTCCCTTCATCACCTCTGGTTCAAGTACAGAAAGGTATGTATCCGCAACGTACGGCGGACCACCAAACACTGGCCGTCCGTGAGGCCGCTCTCTCGAAATCTGGTTCCTTACCGCTTCCAGAAACCGGTTCAGCTATACTAGAGGGAATCATTCGAAGGATGCATCCGGGTAGACGATCATAAATTCTGAGGGTCGAGTGAGTCCTAAGAAAGCTCAATTTCGAACCTCACATGAATGTTTGAAGACAACGTAAGATTGAAAGAGAAGATACTTGACCCATGACATGCTTGGATGAATGTTCAAAAAGAAAATAAAGTGATGATTGGCCTCGTCTGAGAAAGGCTTACATCATGTGAGGCATCTCGTACTCACGAAGCCGTCTCGAGCGGGGTCGACCTATGCACTCATCTGTTATCCTTCTTTCCACAGGCAGAGACCATGGCGACAATCCTCCATCAGACCTTGTCGTTATGTACAATGGAACGATGTCTTACGGTGACCTCCTGGGACCCACTACAATGCTGCAGCCCTGAAGAGCTGTCCCGTCTCGACGAGAGATTCGATTACGCATTGCGAGACATCACCTGTCTAGTCTTTTGGACGGGAATATCCCCAGACCGGGCTCGGTGCTGGGCCGAGCAGCATGGCCTGCCAACATTAACTATTGCGATGGGTCCCCTATATAGTGATCGTGGGGCAGGGAGTCTGAGGCATAACAAGTCACCCAAGGCGTGGTCTAAGTATATGAAGGCGGCTTCCGGTCGATTTGCAGAATATGCGTGTCGTAGTGGCCGGCAAGCAGTTGTACTGACGAACCCTCCACCGGGTATCTACAGCACGAGAGAGCGGTCCAACTATCGCGACCTGGAAGAGCCGATCTTGAAAGGTGCTTCAGGAGGACCTGGTACCACCCGGATCGAATATGTCCATCCTTTGGTCGCGGGTGCGGCAACTTTTCAATATCAAATCTGGCCCTTCGACAACACGAGCGCGTGGTATATATTCTTCAAGAACCTCCTGGCAAAGGGAGGTAGAACTCGGGACAGCTTCGACATATCCGTCAAGAATCAGGTCGCCGTCAAGGCGTATCAGATACCGGGCGGGGTAGTGCAATTACAGAACAACGCACAGCTTCCAAACGAGACCAAACTCCTTGAAACACAAACACAAGCAGAAACAGCGCAAAACAGGGCCCAGGCAAAGAAAGAGGCCAAGCGCAAGCGGTTCGAGCGGGAGCGCCAGAGAGCAAGTGAAAAGAAAGAAGCTGAACGAAAGCAAGTAGAGTTGGAGCATCTGAAAGCACGCGAGAAGGAAGCCAAGCGACAGCGGCACGCGTTGGATTTGCGAATGATTCAAGAGAAGAAGGAAGCCAAGCGACAGCGGCACGCGCTGGAGCTACGAATAGCTCAAGAGAAGAAGGAAGCCAAACGAAAGCGGCTACAGTTAAGTATCGCGGGAGAAGAAAGATGCAAAACGGAAGCGAGTTGAGCTGGAGCAGCAGGAGTTGCAAGAAGGCAGAACTGGAGCATCGAGTCGCTCAGGTGGAAAAAGACATCACAAAAACGATGTGAAACAGAGCGGCAGAAGGCTCAGGATGGGTAATAAGTTATATGGAGGAAGATCGGAGAAAGGACTCTGATGTTAGGTCGGAAAATCGACGAATTCCAACCATTGGAGCGATGACGCCCACATCTGGCGACCGTCTCGCTGGATTTCTGGCGGCGGCGGCGGTGGTGCCCACAATACCTTCCCATCAGACCAGACAAGGAAGAATTGCTACCTGGTCCTCTCAACGGCTCTTCTCTCCTCACCCAGCGGTAGGGCCCGCGAACATGTCCGGGGAAGAAGTCTCTCAGGTCGAGTCTGTCACCGTGGTTGCCCAGTTGTTTCGAAGCCACCCGGAAGAATCGATTGTAGAAAGGGTGAAAGTATACAAGATGCAAGACGGAGCATTGAACGTGTTGCCGGAGACTCACATGTCACTCTTGCGGTAACGATACGCTACCCGGAACGTATCAGAGTGAGGTGACTGCTGAAGGGGACAGAGTAGTTCGGTACATAGTATGCTGGAAGCAACCCCCCCACCTCTGGACAAGTACTTCGTCCCTTTCTCGCATGGCACCAGGCAGCGCATCGGGATGAACCTGGCCGACGCAGAGATCTACATCACCCTCGCGATGCTCTTTCGCGTGTACGGCAGTCCAGACGTGCGCATGAAGGGCGACCGCGGATACCTGGAGCTCTTTGAGACCGAGTGGGCCAGGGACGTCGAGATCGTGGGTGACGGCGTCACGCCCTTGAATCGGAAGAGGAGTAGATGGATCCGAATCAAGGTCAAGTAGGTCGATAATAATGTGTGGTTTCCCATTCCCATTTACCGAAAGGAGGGGTTTTGACAAGAGATATAGGCACGCAACGAGTTTTCGGGGCAGGCAATGTAGGGGCGAAGAAGACGTCAAGAGAAGCCATGTAAAGGATGACGAGGAGCTAGGCGCAAGTGCTGATAGTATTCCTGTGGCTTGTGCCATCTCAATGTCAACTGAATAATGACAATACCAAGAATGCCCTAAACGCCCTGTTTAACGGGGATAAGAGTTCATGGTCCTGCATCAAGAATTGGGTCCAACAGCTCGGGATCTCAGCCTTGCGTCTCCTTTCCACTGGCAGCAGCCAAATCATCCATCAGCATCGTGGCCCTTCTCCAAGCATTGTGTCTCATAGCGTTCAATTCGCGTGCCTTGTCCGCAATTTTCTCGTGCATCTTTCTTAACTCGATGTCTCCACCCATCGTCCGCTCCACCTCGGCAATTTCCTTGCGCGCCACTTGCTGCGTCTCCTTCGACTTTGTCGCCACCAGTTTTAGCACTGCAGTGCACCATTTGCAAGGCTCTCCTTGAAGTCGCGCTTCGCCTGCAGCTGGGGGGACGATCAAGTTATTGGGTACGGGCTCTTGAGGGTCAGGGAGGCCTGTGTGTATGTGCTGTTCGCATTGGTCGGAGTTGCAGGAGAGAGGGGTTGGGGTGTTCGGGGAGGACAAAGATGGTTCAGCCTTGATGAGGTGTCTGGGATGTTCGATCACTAGCTTGCCGCAGGAAAGGCGACCCCATGGCCGTGGTTCGTCGCAGTGTTCCCACTGTGAACTGTTTTTCGGGTTGAAGATGAGGGAGGACACTGGGTCTTGGTCAGGGTAGGGGCAGACGTGTAGTTTGAACCGGCACATGGTAATGGAAAGCTGACAGTACGCTACTGTCTGGTATCGGCGCTCTAATGATTCTGAATTTGCGAGACTTGGGAAGGGGACGAGTTGAGATCCAAAACTGTCGACCCTCTTCTGCCAGGGAATGGACGAGGTATTTAAACTCTGGTGAATCAGAAAAGTGAAGGGTTGATTGCTGATGTGAATATTGCTTTGGTCATGCGGTCAAGAAGTTGCTGCGGTGTCGTGACTGGATGTTTGCCCGCAATATCTTGGGTGAATGGATGGTAGAAGCATGAGCCAGAGAGCGTGAGAAGGATGTCGCAGCCGCTGCAGAGCGCAGTCCCAATGCCGCGATTCTGTATCCTCTTGACTCTAGGAAAGCGCAACCTCATCAACTGCGATTATCTTGGAGAAAAAAAAAAATCTCATACCAATGAGGGCACACGATACCTTTCTCACATTCTCATCGAGCGAAATTGGAGCACTTGCGATCGATCTGAGTTTCGGCTTGCCTTTTCACAGTTTGTCAGTAACCATCGAGCAAGTCCTCCCTTTCTCTACCAAGCACAGATCTAGGTCTTCTTTGTGCGTGAACTCCACTTCGGATGAATACGACTGAGCCTCTTGGACGACCTTTTCAAAACCAAGACCTCCCGAGTCCTCCCCCATCAGCCAGAAAGGACAGACTGATCCCAGCAACCGTCAAGTTCCACAGTCACCCAGCAAACAAACCACACAATCATCAGCAAACTCACAGCCTCAAGGTCATCCGAGAGGACAGGCGGCAACCTGCAGCATTCATCTCCACTTCAAACACCTGAACGACCAGGTCGGAGAGCCACTCTGACCTACTGCCTGCCGACCAAGTCCCTGCCCTCAGCCTTCAAGCTCTTTTCTCTTCTTCATCAATGTCGTGCCACACCAGACCTCCTGTGCAATACCGAGGCCAGCAAGAATGTGCTACACTATCAAGATCGTCCATTTCGGATGCATTGACGGGGGGCTCCACGTAGACTATGCGATGGTTCGATGCAAGGGTGGGCTGGAGTGGACGATGCTGATGCAAGTCAAGCAGCTGTGTACAGGGATAAAGCAGGTGGACGACTGGAGGATGACACCATGCCGCTTTTGCAAGGAGTACATGGAGTCAAGGCGTGCGTTGGAGCAAGCCGGTGGCCGTGCCCGGGCGGTGTCTTTGGACGCAGATAGACCCAAAAAGGCAGCAGTCGACGCCCTGTTGTAAGGCGCTGAGGAGCGTCACATCCTGTGACGATAGCAAGATTCAACAACAAGCATTGAATCAATCCAGCTGAACAGCGTCCGTTTTTCATTCATGATCCTCCGATAAGTTCAGCATCGCCTCCGAAATTAACTAACAGGACATGACAATAATTCACGAAAGCGTGCCGCAGAAAATACACGATATCGTGATGAGCCTAGCGTCGCCTCATCGGACACCAGCCGTGACACTGCAATACTGTCGGCGTTCGCTTAGAATCCATGTCACTGGTCTCGGTCCAGCATTCGCTGGCACGGCTTTGGGCATTTCACGTCATGTCCAGAGACAAGTCCTTTTCCCTGGCCACAGTAGCGCCGACAATGCTTCTCAGTCGATCATCTACTTAGCCAATACTGCCTCAATAGAGGGGTTTGTGGTCGGCATACGGCGTTGAATGTCCCGGGTCGTTTCCACATATTCGTTGACAGATATGTTACGAGGCCGGGACCTTCACGGCGTAATTTGGGAACAATTCTTGTGTGGACCTGCAGATCAGAGTGGTGATCTGTGTGACTTCTGAACTCAAAGAGTAGGCAATATTCCGACATGTTGGAAGCCCACAACGCCGGGAGGTTTGCAAGGGGAAAGGGGTGGAACTCGCAGTCATCTCCCCACTGAACGGCAATGTCAGCATAGTAGGTACCGAATCTAGGGCACATAGGAGCGTCGCAGAAACCGGGCCGGTCTCTGACGCAGCGAGATCCTGCCTAATCATCTTCAGAGCTTCCGTACTGAACGAGTTCAGCGTCTTCCAGGACATGCGCTGCGATAGTTTCAGCGTCCTTCGAGAGGAGATCTTCTGCATACTTGGCCGATGCCCGAGCACCTTGTCAGCCCAGATGGAGACAGCATCCCCAGGCAAGGTCTCGGTGACGATGAACCAGCGGTCGCCCTTTGCCTGACACATCGTCCAGGACGTCACCAATGCGTCCGGTTCCCATGTCTCATCGATATCATTGGCCGGTTTTGATGGAAATTCTAGTCTAGGTCGAGTCTGATGTCCGATGTTTTCATATTCTCTCGCTGATCCAGATGGCTCCTCTGCATCCATATCGAATGACATCCGTCAGTGGCTGATATGGCTGTGCCTCCTTTGCATGATTTTCGACAGCATAATCCAGATGCTCAAGTTCCTCATCGCGTATTCGCTTAATGTCCTCAATCAAGACCTTCAGTTCAGGATCCAGCTCCTCTCCTCTCTCTTTCAATTCCGTCATCCACTTGAAGAGTTCCCGTACTTGGCCATTGTAGTGATTCCCGATCTCTGTCTCGACTGCCTCGGTACACGCCATAGCAGCTTCTCTTCCCATCATGCCCGTAGTCCATCCCAGTACAGTTGCTGCCACCTGCCAGACTGGATACATTGCCGTCGGGCGGATGCGGTGCTTTGCGAGAAGTTCATTGAAGGTTTTGAAATGTCCGGCTTCTTGGTCATACATATGTTTCATGAGGGGACGGAGATGTGGGTGGGCTTTGACGACAGGTGGCGTCTGAGCGGTGTAGATGAGAGTAGCAGCAAGCTCTCCAGCCTGGTTTACACGGAGCGCACTGTCGAGAAATCTTCTCTGCTCGTCGGAAAGCACTGTTCTGGGTTGAATGGGCTCTTGAACCGTTTCACCAGAGGTATTTTGGGTCGACATCTGTCGGACTGCAAGTTGTCGAGAGTATAGCAGGCGTGACTTCGGGCATCTGGGAGCGCCAGACAGGATTCTGACACAGTTCCTGACCATCATCTTTGCAACAAGCTGGCCACCACCAGTGTGGATAGCTGGAGATCAAGATCAGAAGCTCTGCATGCGCAGCCTACAAAGAACTATGGGTCAATAATTGGGGTAACGAGTCATTTTGGCGGAAACTTTGCCGACAGCGTAGTCATGCAATTTCCTAGATGGGCTTGTCGACTACATACTCCATGCAATCCAACAGAGATGCCTCACCATCCGTCCTGTTCTGCGCTTTCATCTCCCGCAACAGGAGATTTATTCTGATTCTACTCAGCCTGTGTGCCATTTGACACATTTAGTTGTCCTCACTTGGGTTTTTCTGCACTAGATTAGACTTTGTTTAGACGAGTGGCCGACGTCTAACTCTTTCTGCCGGACCTTACCACAATTCTTCACTAACAACCAAGGCTTCAAGGAACAACATCTTTTTGCATCCCGAACAGTTTTTCCTCCTCCGATCGCCTCGCTTCACCTTCTTCCTTTGAGCATCCGCACTGAGAACGTGCCTTGCCCTACTATCAGCCAAGTGAACAGTGCTTTACTGCCTCACCATGGCTGACCTGGATGCGGAACTTCTTGCTCTCGCCGGAGGCGACTCCTCCGGTGAAGAGAGCATGCCCTCTTCTCCCAAACAAAAGTCCCCTTCGCCGCCACGCTCCAAGAAACAACAAAGAGAATCACCATCCGCAGACATGGCTCGCAAGGGTGTCGCAAAGGCCGTCAAGCGAGCCAAACGTCGTAAGACTTACTCGGACGATGAAGATGAAGCGTAAGGCTCGCCGTCCATCTCGATGTTGCGATCGCTGACACGCTGGTTTTGCAGCTCTTCTCTCTCCCAACAGTCTGAGTCTGCATCCATGTCCCAGTCTGATTCCGAGGCCGACTTCAACGCTAGCGCGGACGACAAACCCATCTTTCCTTACGAGAAACTCTATTACGACGCTGAAGACAAAGCTAGGATCGAAGCAAAACCCGAAATCGAACGAGAGGAGATTTTGGCACAGCGCAGTGAACAGGTGGAGCGCCACGAACAAGATCTCCAGCTACGTCGCCTTGTCGCCTCACGCGCTCGAGAAGAGGCCAAAAATGCCGCAAAGAACAAGCGCAAGGCCAGTGCCGCAGAACTGGAGGACACCCAGCGAAAGAGCACTCGACAGCGCACCAAAGTTGGTGGCGGTCGTGTCGGGGAAGCCAGCAGTGCCATCGAAGCCTACAAGCGACAGCGAGAAGAAAAGAGTCTCCGCGAAGAACAGCGAAAGAGGGACGGTTTTGTGAGAAGAGCGGCATCACCGCGAGATGATTACAGCGACGCAGATGCAGAGGGCGAGAGCGACAACGACTACGACGACCGGAAGTTTAAGAGACGCACTCCCACACCACCTAAAGATGAGCCTATCGCTGAGCTTGCCGACATCCAGAGAGCCCGTGTTGGTCGTGACAACTTCGCCCAAGTCTGTTACACCCCTGGCTTTCAAGATACCATCACAGACTGCTATGCCCGCGTTTGTCTTGGTCCTGGTCGTAATCCTGGCGTGAATGAATATCGTCTCTGCTTGATCAAGGGATTCACAACAGGCAAGCCATACGCCATGATCGGATCTAATGGCAGACCTTTTCCAGTCGACATGTACATCGTTGCGGCGCACGGTAAAGCGGAGAGACCATGGTCATTCCTTGAATGTTCCATGTCCAAGTTCACCGACGACGAATGGCGACGATACCGTTCTGTCATGGCGAATGAAGACTGCAAGATGCCTACTAGGGCCTTCATCAATTCCAAGCTCGATCAAATCAACCGACTGATTAACCATCGTTTCACCGAAGCTGAGATTTCGCAAAAGATCAAAGCCCAGAACGACCTCACCGAAAGGATCACCCGAAGCCAAGAGAAGGAGGATCTCAATGCGAGAATCGCTGAAGCTCGCGCCGACGGGAAATATGATCTAGCCGAAGAATTAGAGAACCAGCTTGCAGCCATCGTGCCCATGAAACTGGCTTTCGGTACGAGCTTGACCAAA